TCGTCCGAGTAGTGGATATTAAGATCGGCGACAAGATCTACCGACGGTCTATCCATCATCTAGTACCTATTCTGGACACCGAGTAGTTTGTGCCTTGTGTATCTGAAGTGCTACAGGCAGCCCTGTGACAGTACTCTCTCTCTCTCTCTCTCAACCTATGAAGTTTTTCTTTCATCATACAGTACCGTAGTAGTACTTACTCGTCACAGTTTGTTTGCTGACCCTGTGCTCGTGAGTGAAGGGGGATATGTTCTGGAATATTCCCAGCTTGTGGTGAATCTTGCATGACCTTTCATTGTACTCAGGTTTCATTCCTTTTATTCTAGTGCATGCTGCTGGCGCCTGATGTATTGACTATTGTTACCGCAGGCCAGTCTCAATCTTTGCATTGTCTGAGATTCAAGTAGCGTATCGTTTGATGCATGTGCTGTCTCCATGCTATCTAGTCGTAATATATTCACTCGTCTTTGCATTTGTGCACAGTCCTGTGGATACTCGCAGGCTGCGATTGCGCTCTCGCTTTGGTCATTCTAGAATGTATACTTCCATGCCTTTGAAGTTTTTTAGTTGTCAGTTTTGAACTGTAGGAAGCAGTTTACAGTCAGTTTTGTTCTTGCAGTTTTATCTCAGAGGAAAAAGTTCTTGGTCTCATACTGTTACGAGTTGCTATTGTACCTGGTTGAACGCATGCCGGGGCAACAGAGGGCAGCATGAGTAGCCATTAGGTTTAGGCCTGTTTTGGAACTCCACTTTAAATAAAGCCAAACAACAACAACTTCGCTAATAACGACTGCGGATATAACGACAATTCGCGAATAACGACCGAATTTCCATGCCCAGAGCAAAGTCCCATCTAACTGTATACATTTAACTTCGGATATAACGACTATTTGAATAACGACAGTTCGCGTATAGCGACATGCTTTTAGTGCCCCGTGGTCATATTCACTGCTTGAATAACGACTTTCTGGGCTTTTGACAGCTATTTCAAGTACCTAGTACCTGTCAGTCAAGTACAATACCTGTCATGCAGAAGTACCAGAACCTATGGTGCACTGGTGATGGATATTATTGCACACATGCAAGAAAATGCAGCCAAGGGGGGGGGGGCTTTTTCTTCCTTTTTTATGGTGGCTTCAAAATTGTTGGATTTACCAGCACACCTATATGTATACAATGTACATGTAGTTGTACATGATTTTACAGTAATCATCATACATGTACATGTCTCTGGCCCTGTAGATGGCTTAAAAAGGCATATTTTTCAATTGATTTCCCTTGCATATTGAATTTTTAGTTCCTTTCAACTGCAATATGAAAATACAGTACACATTGACCTAGAGCAAGAAAAGAGCTTGATTTTGATATGCATATCATACTATGGCTCTCAAGCCCACGGATCCGGGAGAAATACGTTGATACAGTCGTCGCAGAGTTGGCAGATGGTGGTTCTGCTGTGGATACGGAGGACGGGGGACCGGCATTGCTGTGGCAGAAAACAGCATCGGGGATAAAGAATGCTGCAGAGAAATCGCTAGGTCTAGAGGCCCGGACAAAGCGTGGTGTGAAGGACAGCCGTGAACTGCGCCGACTGTCTCAGGCTCAAAAAGAACTAAAATTACGTATCGAAAATATCACCAACACCGGTACTCGGGCAGGCCTGAAGAAGGAACGCAACCGCATTCTTCACAGCATCAGAAGAACAGCGCTGAAGGAAGCAGAATTACGGCTGGACGAAAAGGCAAAGGAGGTGGAGAAGTTGCGGGACGGTGCTCGAATGTTCAAAGCTGTTCAGTTAATGCGGAGACGTGGCGCTGTGAAGCCTACAGTTGCTGACAACACCGGAAAAATCATAGTAAACGAGAAGGAAGCAGCTGAGGCAATTGGAAGCCATTTCTCAAGTCAGTTCAGCTCACCAAGCGCCACAGACATCTCACCGTTCCAGGGACAGCCATGTCCTCTGCAAACTCCCATTACATCTTCAGAGATTGCAGGCTGTCTCGGGAAACTGAACAATGGCCGTGCCGCAGGAGACGACAGTATCCCCACAGAACTGATGAAGTATGCAAGTGATGCTTTGGCTCCTGTGTTGACCAGCATTTTCAACGGCATGTTTGAGCAACACGAGGTGGTTGATATAGGCAGTGGCAGTCTGATCCCACTTCAGAAACCCAACAAGCCGCTGGGACCACCATCAAATTTACGTCCGATAATTCTTCTCAACACGCTGCGGAAGACCCTGTCACTCCTCACTTTAGCTCGAGTCAGACCCAAGGTTGACCAGTACCTAGCCCAGACGCACAGCGGCTTCCGCCCTGGCCAATCCACCGCGGATGTGGTATGGGCGCATCGATGGCTTGTGGCAAAGACCCAGCGCTACCACAGCACTGTTCACCTGTTGGGCATTGATCTGTCGAAGGCTTTTGACACGATCAAGCGAGACACCTTGCTGACTGTTCTGGAGGCGTTTCTGAGTGACGATGACGTTCGCTTGATCAGGGTCTTGATCTCTAACACCAAACTTCGTGTTCGGCTTGGGAGGTGCCAGTCGGAATCATTTGCTACAACGAAGGGGACGCCACAGGGGGATTGCCTTTCCCCCGTTCTCTTCACGATTTACCTGGAGGCTGCGCTCCGACAACTAAGGCAAGAGGTGCCAGCAAGACCTCTCAGCGACAACGGTCTGCCGCTCGAACTTGTATACGCGGATGATGCAGACTTTGTCAGCACCTCAAAGTCCTGGCTGGCGGACGTGGAGGCGACTGCCAGCACGGTGCTACCACAGTGGTCCTTGATCATGAACCGGGACAAAATTGAGTATACGGAAATCTTCAGAAGTGCGGACAGGATCGATGAAGAGTGGAGGACAACGCGCAAGCTGGGTTCGCTGCTGGGCGACGAAGAGGATATCATGCGACGAAAACAGCTGGCGACTGCAGCATTTCAGTCCCTATGGAGCCTCTGGAAGAGGCATCAGCACATCAGCGAGAAGTTGCGTCTGCGGCTGTACAACACTTTTATTATTCCAGTACTGACGTACAACTCGGGTACGTGGGGGGGGGGGGGGGGTCAGTGTGACCGTTCTGTCTCGCCTGGATTCCTTCCACCGCCGTCAGCTAAGGTCACTCATCGGTGTGAAATGGCCACAAATAATACCGAATGATGCTCGCTATGCCAGATGCGAAGCTGAACCCTTGAGTGTCATGGTCAAGAGATCACGATGGAGGCTGTTTGGCCACATCCTGCGGATGGCAGATGAATCTCCAGCTGTTATGGCTATGTTCGCGTACTTCGCCAATCAGCAACAGAAATGCTGGAGGGGTAGACCGCGGATGACCCTGCCGCAGGCATTGGTGGGAGATCTGCGCCAAGCCAATGCCGGATTGCTCGGGAACTTAGACGCTCTGCAGAGCCTGCGAGCCATTGCCCATGACCGACCCGCATGGCGCGATCTATGTATGAAGATCTGTGCATCGTGATATTCCGACAGGTCCTGAAACAGTCAAACTCAGGAAATAGTACTATTATTATCACTCAGGCTGCAATATTCAATGACATAATTAAAGACATATTCATAAATGACATATCTTCAATACCCATGAGCTACATTGTATATGATAATTATATCATTGTATCATCGTTCTAGCTCAATTTCTTTCCCCTGTCATAGTCCTGTTTATCATGTTCAGCATAAGCGAAGTTGTGGATCATGCTTGCATGGTTGACTCCAACGCGTACATGCAAGTAATAATAATAATATCATACTATACAAAATATGGGTTCACATACATTCAAATGGGACTTCGGTTATAAGGACACTTCACGAATAAGGACACTTTTCTGATGCCCCGCCAAATGTCGTTATTGGCGAAGTTGACTGTATTGGTACGAGTTAAGAGGAACTCTCCATCACTGTAACCTGATACTATAGAAAGTGAGTTGCCTTCCCCTCTTTGGTCTTTCCATAACCTTGAACCTTCCAAGTTGGAAGGCTTTCGGTTAGCGCTACGGAGATGTGTTGAAGCTAGGTGTCAGGACGTCGAATGTCTCAGTACTCTGTCAGTTTTGTGCCTAGTTATTGCACTTTCTGAGTTACTCTTAACTAACTCGTATCCATATGTCCTTTTCCTTTCTACATTTATTTATGGCTCAACATCCGAGTTTCAAATTAAATATTATTTTACCCTTTATGCAGGGGAAAAATGTACGCACACTGAACTGTTCGATCCCTTTATGCAGGGGAAAAATGTACGCACACTGAACTGTTCGATCTCGACTCACATCAAATTCCAGCTCCGAACGAAATTTATTCTCATTTCACTCCACCTTGGTGGATTTTTATCATCCTGGGCTAGTTGGAAAGATCAGGACCAAGCGAATCCATCCTGATAGCTCTAAGCTCCATAGACACATCAGGGCCACTTCCACGACCTCTCCAAACTACTCCACCGTGCCTCGGAATGGCACAACAACTCAATTTCACATTCTTGTTCGGCTTCTTGCCCAAATTCAACCGATTTTCACAATTCAAACTGCGCTGCAAAGCTGAGATCCAAGCGCTTCATTTTATACACATCACGCATGCGCCGTGCCAAAGGTAAAACCCTGGCACGCTCCTCAACAAAAAGAAGTTATGAACAAAAAAATTCGCGTTCTCTCTGGTCCGTGATTTCCGTGTTCATCTTCTTGCCGCTCAATGAATTCTTATCCTATCGCAAAGAACTTTATATCTCTGGACAGATGAGGTCAAGACCTTTCCAACAGTGTATTGACTGTCGCGATGCGTTTATGTTTAACGAAGTTCCGAAAGTTTGTACACTGGTCTATGCACTGCGATATATCGCGCGACTTTTCTTGCCAGTTAACTCGTACGTAGTGGATCAGGTCATGCATAAAACGCGATTTAACTCGTACTCAGCACGCAAAGGGTTAATTGATGCAAGACACTGTGCTTTATGTGTTTCTTGGGCATGTGTCCTTAAAACATTAGAAATACTCACGGATACAAGGATTCGTAAGCGTCGGTGTCCAATTACCATCAGTGCCACAAGATATGTTCTGTGATGTAGTAGCATCAGCTGTATATCCAGTATCACACATCACCATGAGTTTACTTCCAGCTGTTGTTGGACTTCCAGTTGGGAATGTACCATGAGGAATATTGTCTGGTGGTGATCCACAGTCCCCTGTGTGTGCAGCGGATTAGAAAAACAAAAATCATGATTAGTTACATAGTATTTACCCCTTTATGCAGGGAAAAAATGTACGCACACTGAACTGATCTCAACTCACATCAAATTCCATAATTCTCAGGGTCATAACTTTGGTCTCCTTTTAACGCTATTTTTCAGCCTTGGGCTGCCTGAAAAGCTCGTCCCAAGAGGAACACATTGAGCCCACGTTTGCCCAGAAGAGGGTTATAATGCCATCGCTACAGCCTAGAATCTTAGCTATTTTATTTATTTATTAAACTTTGTTTATTTCTGCCTTTCGTAGCATGTCAAGACAGCCAATTGAACTGAGGATAGGGCGAGACCAACCACGAAAGAAGAGAGAAAAGAAAGAAAAAAGCACGTCCACAAAACGGGTAGAGATTAGCAAGTTACAAAACAATGGGATGCCCAGCGAGCTATGCAGCGGAAGTGGTGACTGACATTTTGCTCACTGGAAGATACTGAAGTGCTGTCTGACAAGGGTCCGGAATTTGGGCATATCTGGGGCTTGCCTAACAACGGAAGGCAGTTGGAGCTACGTGGAGTAGGAGGAAAAGAAGGGTGAATTTACGAATAGGGTAGACCTAGCTAGGGGAGACGAACGCGGCTTCGGGTGGTACCACCCGACTTAAACTGATTAACCCTTTGTGCGCTCAACGAGCGATTTAGCTCGTTTCCAATTAACATTTTTGATCGTCACGCTTGACTGGCTTACCGCATCGTGCAGAGACACTTAGCACCGCGTAGCTGAGAAGATTTCCATGACATAGGTACTACACATGACGTAGGTCGCCATTAAAATTTTTTGATGGCACGCTTTGAAATTGATTTTGCGATATGTCAAAATTATAATTTTGACTTCTCGCTCCACATATACTGGCATACAAAGAGACATAGACAGCAATAGCGACAACACACAAAGTGAAGGATAGTTGGCCGCAGCCAGATGAAGGGTAGTTGGCCGCAGCCAGATGTGAACCGGATAATGAGTGAGGTATGGAAGCAAGGACTGAGAACAGAGTGTCTCAGATAGAATAGGCGTGCCAGTGGATAGCAGGAATAGGCCATGATGCAGAACCACTTGGGACCGTCAGATTAATTTTCCTGGACCGAGCCCGCCGGGAAAAAACCCTCGCGCCGACGGACGCATTTGTGAGGGAAAAAGCCGGGTGTATATTCCCAATGGCGATTAGGCATCATGTAGGCATGGCAAGCACATCGCAGCAAACAGTAATAAAAAGCAATGATAATCAGGGGCGTACACCGCTCGCCTCCAGGAGCGGTTCCCGTGCCAACTGATCAACCAATATCCCACAGCTGGTGCTCTTATACGTATCGCAAGCAGAAGCCACCATGGCACGCCGGTCAAAAGACTTCCCAGGGAAACTCCTCCAACCAGTATAGTTGAAAGCGGCGCTGTTTGCCATCCTTCTGGACACGCACAGGAAACGAAATCCTTCGCCTTCAGTGGCGCACAATGATTGTCGATGATGGAAATCTTTTCCGTGTCCGGCAAATTTCGGGGGAATCAGGGATTTCACTGTGACGTACACTTTCAGAATATCCTTTCCAACACACTCCAATGTCACTGAAGTAAGTATTGGATGATCCAGCAGCTTCCAAGAACGGTCGCTCTACAGCTTCGCCGACGATTCCGTCCTCTGTGCTGCTCGTTGCAGACTTCACTTGCAAGTCAGGTGCGTCCGCAATCCCATCTATGGCTTGACCTTCCTCACTGGCTACACACTATGCCTCCTGCTCAAAATAGCTCTGAATAGAGCGCTGGCCCTCTGGATGTCGACTCTTCCTTTTTTCTTTTCCGCAAAGCGAAAGCATCGTCAAAAACGTAACCAACTTTGTCGAAACAAACTTCAAAGGAAGTGACTCTGAGATCGAAGAATCCATGTAACTCGTATGTAGAGACTTTGTTGCACCCCGTTAGTTCAGTAGATCTGTGCTGTGTCACAAAATGCCCCAGCAGCACTTTTACACCTGGCCTACAATTATAGTCACCCTCGGGCCTCCTCCTCGGACCGTGAGGCGGGCTGCAGGCGCTAGGCATGCATCAGGGAGTCGTAAAAGTCTTTTACGACTCCCTGGTATGCATGCACTGCACTGCACGCTGGGCCTGGATCAAAACATTCTCCGTACCCACATTGAAAATTTCCGGGCATCCTGGGAACCGCCCCATGTATGCCCTGATAATATGCACAGAAATGAAGGGTGGGAGGGCAGGGACACTGGTGAGACTCAAAACTGACTGAAGAAGTCAGGAAAAGAAGCGACAACAAAGAACACACCAGATGCCATATTTGCAACTGAAAAAAATTCGCGAAGAATCATTTCTCTTTTCCAGCGATGGATGCAGACGAGGCTCTTCGCCTAATGCAAGACGCGGACCAAGCAGATCTCCCAGTAGAGGATATCGCTTGCTCTTCAGGCGACGAGGTGGGAGACTCGGGTAACGATTTTATTTCGCCTGACAAGGAAGATCGCTTGAAGGACGATCTCTTTTCTGATTTGGAGGAAATAAGATCCGATTCGGCTGACGATATCGCTATTCCTGTTCCCGTTGCTGCTCGTGGACATGGCGCTGGACGAGACAGAGGACAAGCAGTAGGTGTTGCCGCGGGTGGAAGAGGGCGAGGACGTGGAGCTGCGACAGGGCAAGGACGTGGAGCTGCAAGAGGGCGAGGACGCGGAGCTGCAAGAGGGCGAGGACGAGGACGTGGTAGACAGTACGAAAGTTGTAGTGGCTATGATGATGTTGACCAGCTGCAAACCAATACACCTGAGTTCAACATAACTGGGACTGGTTTGAACCTACCTGATAATTTCGCTCCAACATGTGAACTTGATTTCTTCGAACTATATTTCAGGGACGAAGTTGTGGATTCAATTGTCAAGTTTACAAATTTGTATGCGCACGAGCATGTCGCTGAAAAAAAGACGTACCAGACGGATGGTGTGTGGAAGGAGACCGACCGTGATAAGGTCTATAGCCTCCTTGCATTTCTCTTCTTCCAGGGATTTCATCCTCTGCCTGCGACGAGGGACTACTGGTGCGTTACATCGTTGTACAACAGAAATTATGCACGCTGCATGATTCGAACCTAGCGGAGGTACTTAGCGCTGATGTGCTTCCTCAAGGTTGTGGACTTCAGAACAGAGGATGTAAATGATCGTCTTCGTAAGGTGCGATACCTTCACGACCACGTGCAGGCGGCCTGCAAGCGTTTGTTCATTCCTGGCAACTGCGTAAGAGTTGACGAGCGCATGGTCAAGTGCAAGGGAAGCACTCTTTTTCCGCAGTTTATGCCCCAAAAGCCCGTCAAATGGGGCTTCAAGGTCTTGGCTGCCTGCGACGCCCAAAGCCCCAATGTTGTAAACTTTGAAGTTTACACAGGCCAACAACCTGGAGGTGAAAATGGCCTGACTCATGCTGTGGTGATGCGGCTTGTCAGCGACGTGCGTGCCGGAAGTGTGATCTACACGGACAATTTTTACACTTCCGAAACCCTGGCCACATCTCTTCGTACCAAGCAAATGTCGTTGGTTTGGCACCATCCTCGCAAACCACACTGGATTTCCAGCCGTATTGCGGACCGACATGAAACAGTTCGAGAAACATGCAGAGCGAGGTGCAACACGCTATGTTCGCAACGGAGATCACCTGTACCAGCAATGGAAGGACAAGCCGTGTGTGTCAATGTACAGCAACATACATCAGGGCGATGAGCATGATACAGTAACAAGAAATGTCAAGATTGATGGTGCACACCAGCAAATGGAAGTGCAGAGGCCAGTGTGCATCAGAGACTACAACAGCAGCACGGGTGGAGTCTCCACGTTCGATCAGCTGATCGAAACGCATCGTGTGCTTCGCAAAACGAAGAAATACTGGAAGAGTATCTTCTTGGATATGTTCGACATGTGCGCTGTCAATGCATACCACCTCTTTCACTTGTGGCAGAGCCAGCATCCAGGGGTGATAACTCGATGATGCAACTTGCAGCACTCGGATTTCCGCTGTAACCTCATCCGGCAGCTGTCATTGATTGACGAGCATGCACCGCCACCGAAGCGCTCGTATCGCCCAGTGCCTGTTCCACAGGATGTCCAGGTTACTGTTGCTCGGCTTCACATACCTGGAGTGAGGAAAAGGAAGAACTGCAGAAACTGCACAGAAGTGGGAAACAAGCAGCGCCAAGTGTGCAACCTAATGCACTACGTGCGATGTTCACCTCCACATCACTAGTGACCGCGACTGCTAAGCCGCTTACCATGCATGCCACTACCTGTGAAGGATATCTCATCCCAGTGCTGTGAGCCTACTGTATATTTGTACATAAAGTATTGTGTTATTTCCTTCCTATGGAGCATTCTGTAAATAACGCGGCTATACTCTTGATTATGACAATACGGTGCCTAATATGGTAACATTGGTAACCATGGCAACATTTTAACCGTTTGAGACCCCAACGATCGAATTCGATCGTTTGGTATACAGTGACACTAAAATAATTATATCTCTGGTGTTCCTTCACCGATTTTCATAAACAAAGTATCTACGTTTCGAGAAGACCCTTGGCTATCACGTCGAAGTTATCCGAAGTCTCTAGGAGTTCCGACGCTGCCGTGGTGAGACTCGAAGTCGGAGACAAACTGAAAAATGCACTCAGATCGAAAAATTCAAATTTTCACTCTGCACTTGGCAGGAGATTTCCCCGGAATGGTATGTCATACTCAAGCATGCTGCACACCAATATTTTGCGCTTGAAACGAGCTTTCCGCTGTAGTTTGTTTGAAGTCGATGGGATGAAGGAGAATGGAATGGCGGCTGTTTGAACTTTGCTGAAGCTGTTCGCGCACGGCTGCTGTTTTGGGCGGCATTATAGGCCACCCAGAGCAGAGGCTGTGCAGGTAGTTGGCTTGAGTGTGGTACTATTCTCTTCGTCTTGGAAATACCTTTC